GGGAACCAGCGTACAGCTTCCGGGTCATGTGGCCAGCATGACTAAGCAGCTTCTGGCAAACCAGAGCAGCGCACGGAAACACCATTTACCTTCCCACTGGAAAGGTACCTATTTATCTACTTGTACTTTGACATGCTTTCGAACTGCTAGGTTGGCAGGAGCAGGGACCGAGCAATGGGAGCTCACGCCGTCACGGGGATTCGAACCGCCGACCTTCTGATCGGCAAGTCCTAGGTTCTGTGGTTTAACCCACAGCACCACCCGCGTCTCCTTGTATACAGTACATCCACCCAATTACAACACAGGTCATTTTATAATTTCAGATGTATCCCCAGAATATCTTGAATGTCCTGGATTATTTCCCTCTCAGACCTCAGTGCTCCTCTCAAGTTTTGAGCTGACCAATTGTGTATGATGACTTTTGGCCTCGAATTCTGGGCAGCATCATGGTGTTCTGGTTGGGCCCCCTTGAGATTTGAGTACTTGGGAGTAGTTTCTATATCAACCTGTGAACATTGAGTTGGGACCCATTCCCCCTCTGTCACTGGCAGCATCTCTCCATGATGGAAGGAGGGACTGGCTGACTGCCAGCGGAAGAGCGCTATCAAGTTTGGCACATCATGGCACTGGGACATGCCAACTGAGCTCCCCTGTCTTAGCCTCCAGTTCGCTGCTAGGCTTCAATAATTCATCTACTAACAACAGCCTAGGATCAGAGGGGGTCAAATCCAATGAGTCCAAGATATTAGATGTGTTATCCAGGGCCAGAGATGCTGATTTGGACCCCAGACTCAAGACATCAATACGTTCATGTGGCCCAGCACCATAGAGGCGACTGGGTGCTTTATGAGAGAGCTTGGAGTGGGGAGTAGGGCTGGATAAAACTTCTGATTTGTGATGCTATTCACAGAAAACGAGCAAGCTAAGCTCTCAAGGGTGCAAACAGAAGGCGCTTCCTTCTTCACTGCTCAGACTGGAGTCTATTCTCATCTGTGCTTTTGGGGAGCCAGGAATGAGGAACAGGGAAAAAGGAGGTTCTGGCAATGTTGATGTGAGCTCCCTCCATCTCATTGCTCCCACAGCATCTGCCTCACCTGCCTTTCTGGCTGCAAAAGTTGCCAGAGTGCCCCCACCCTAACAAGCAGTTCACAGATGTTTCAGAGCCGGAACATGCAGGTCCCTGTCCTTTCCACCACCCCAGCTGCTGAGGTCTCTGTGCCATCCCAATGCTTACAACATTTATCTTACATTGCCCATTCATGGCAAGGTGGAGGCGGCCAGGAGACAGCATAAGTGCTGCAGTTCTGAAGAGCTGAGTGGGGCAGTTTGCATCCCCATATCCTCTCGAGATCTACACCCCAAGAGAAGATGGAAGCTGCCACAACAACCTGCCCAGGGTGCCACAAACGTTTAAATGCAGTCTTGATAGCTATATGTTGGCTATGACTGGTTGGCTATGACTTGCCATATACCCAAACGATATTGTAGCAACATGATATCTTCCGGTTTACTGCTTGCACCCTAACTGGCCAGTATCAGCCAAGCAAATAATCCTGGAAGGTGAAAACACTATGTGAGGAATAAAAATTGTAGCACATCGGAAAACAACGGCAACAAACAACCCTGCATTAGTTGCCTAAAAAGTAAAATAGGAGAACATTTGGTACAGCTCAGTTCTGCATCTGTTTTAACCCAAAGGTGTATTCTTTGCTGAAAGATGCACAGTGTTCAAAATGCTTTTCAACCTCTGCAAAGGCACAATAAAAAAGAATGGGGTTGTATCCCATGCTAATCCTACTCCGAGTAGGCCAACTGAAATTAATTGACATGGCTGGTTTATGTTCATTCATTTTAATGGGTCTACTCTGAGTAGACTGTGGCACTGTGCATGCATACATTCCCATTCATTTGCTGGCTATATGCTGGTTGAACTCTTAAGTTATTAAGGGTGGAAGAAGCTGCTGGCTCATTCTTGCATTGTGAGCACTCTGGACAAACATTTCTCACTGAAGTTATTTTACTTCTAACTATGACTCGTCTGTGCCTGGCTTTAGCTGCAGAAATCGGAAGTCTGTTTTGGCTTTGAGCCACTTTGCTCTTCCCGTTTTAATTACTTTGGTGGGAGAAAAGCTCGCAATTCAATCACAGCTGAAATTACAAACTGCCTTGGAGCGCTAACAGCAGACTCAGGCAGAGACAATGGCAATGTGGAAAGAGGGGGGCATAGCTCAGTGGGATGCAGCATGCTTTGCACAGAGAAGGTCCTATGTTTGATCCCTGTGATTTCCACCTCAAAGGCTTCCAGGCAGCAGAGCTTGAAAAGATTTCTGCTTCCTATCTTGGAATGGATGACTAGTACAAAGTAAACAAAATATACAAGGTGGACAGATATGCAGCTCAACACAGATGAGCTAGTGGGGAAAGAAACAGATTGAGGGGGCTGTTGGTGGTGGTACCTTCCCCCCGCTAGGGTGTGGGGTTTTGACAGGTGCCCAGCCATGCCTACCTCTGACGCGAGCCCTGAGCACTTTCTTTTTCAGCCTGAGGGCAGCATTCCCTCATGGGGAACCTTCTGGGAGCCCCATGTCAGTGGTTGGCAGGGCTGGAGCAATGGCAGGCAGATCAATAGATGTGACTCTCACTTTTCTACAGTGGGCGACGTTCCATGCAAAAAGGCACAGGTTTCGGCACACAGCTCCTTCCATCTTCAATTCAGGCAAGCATGAGGCATTATCACAGTTGAAGGATACAACTGGGCCCCCAATAATTATTTTTGCTGTTTTTAAGGAGGGCGGGAGTTTGTTTTAACAGACTGCTCCTATGGGTCCTCTGTTGTAATGCCATTATGCCAAAAGCTGTGTGTGAGAGTGCGCCAGCCAACCAACCCCCAGATGACATTTTCTTTTTTTAAAAAAGGTCATACCCATTATTACTATTTGGCCACACCCACTTTTATACTTGCCCCATGCCCAGTTTGACATGCCAACCCTGGCAGGTTGACCAGGAATTAATGTAGCCCTTTGCCTGAGAAGGGTTAGCCACACCTGCCTTAAACCACCTCTTTCAGATGAAGGGTTCTCTGTGTGGCCATCCTAAATGGCAGATAAATGAATGGGAGATGCTTTGGGCACCCCCTATACTGAGTTCACTCCCTTGACCCTGTAGTGTACCACTTGAGGACATAATTATGCCGTGTGCTTTCCTGCCCCCACCAATGGCAGCCAGAGATGAGGAAACCCATGATGTGTTGAGTGCAGGCATTGTGGGAGCTGGGGGAGAAGGCATGAAGCTGAGATGTCCTCTGTCTGCTGCTTTCCCTCCTGGAAAGAGATGAGTTTTGCCACAGTTATGCATGCTCTGGCACCATCACTTTTGTTTTTTTCAGGTGCATGAGAAAGAAGGAAACTGCCTTATCAGTTTCAGATTATGGGTCCATCTATCTCAGTATTGTGTACACTGACTGAAACCAGCTCTCTGGGATTTCAGACAGGGGACTCTGCCACCCCTGCAACTGAGCTATTGCGTGTCCTGTTCTTTGGAGCCTTTGATGGGCTGTTTATGATAGTCAATTTGTTTAAATTATCTGATTTTAATAGCTTTTTTATTTGCATTAGTTGTCTTTTTCAGCTGCCAGGTTACTGAATATGTATGTGACTTCCACTGTTTGTTCATTAGTGCATTTATATTTCATTCTAGTTTTAATCATTTTATTGTAAGCCACCTTAAGGCTGTTTTTATTTCGGTGGATAGTTCTATCCCACAAGGCATGAGAGGGAAGGCAAGAAGTAATTGAAGAAATGAGAAGCTAAGTAAATAATGCATGGACCTGCCTTATAAAACGTTGACTGATCCAGAATAGATCAGCTAGGTTAAACAATCAGACTCACCAGAAATTTATTTGGGGAAGACAAGAACTGTAACTCAGTGGAAAAGAATTTGCTTTCCATGCAGAAGGTCTCAGGTTCAGTCCTCGGCCTCTGCAGGTAGCCCAGAAATGTCCTCTGTCTGAACCCTTGGGAGCAGGTGCCAATCAGCTGCCTGGTTTGCATGTCACAGTAGGTCAAAACATGTTTTAGTGTGGATGTGCAAGTGTGCGGCCTCCTAGGAAGGAGATCACAGCTGCTTCACTGCTCCTTAGCTATTTTGCTACTGCACCATGCTGAGCTAAGCCATAGCTGGATTTGAACATCATATGAACATTGGCTCATGGTTTACCTTTTTCCAGACTTAACCACCAGCTGTAACCAAGATTTGTGGATTTAGTCAGTGTGAAATGTGTGTGCCTAGTACCAGCAATGTCATACCCTCCAACATTTCTCCTTCCTCCCGTTTCATCTGAGTAATGTTGGAGGCTATGCTGCCCCTTTGCCATATGTGTTTCTGCCCCCCCCCCCCCCGTAGTTCTTAATCCCCCCAGCTGACCTTCATTGTCCCCCACTTGTTTGGTGTCCCTCAGCCACCACACAGAACATTTCCCACCAGAGGAAGGGTGAGTGCCAGCACCACATCAACGGGTTGCAGCACACTCATTACCTGAACAGGTACTTCTGGGAGTGGGACGCCTTCCACCCACCCACTCATCCCTTCGCAATATGGGATTATGTGACAAGTGGATGGGTATCTGTGTCTGAGTGTGTGTCCGTCTCTCTTCTGTCCTGCAGCTGCCCCTGTGTTTCTGTGTTTGTGTTTCTGCTGCCTCACCCTATGCATTCTCACTCCCCCTCTTGACCCACCAGTTTTGTTCCCCACCCCACCCCACCCTGCAGAGCATTTTAGTGAGAGAGTCATGCATGTGCTTCAGTCTCCCGCAGTGAAATAAACAGGACTTAGAAGCTGAGCTTTAGCCATCTTGATCTCCAGAGACGTAATTGAATAATGTGGTGCTGGTGGGCACAATCAAAAACTTTATCCCCTGCCATCACTTTTTTTCTTAACTAGTTGATAATCAGGAATTGTGCTTCTATTATTTCCAGTAATGGTTCATATATTTTCAATTCCAGGTTCTTTCTTTCCCGAGAGCAAGCCCTCAGAGACAATTTTTAAAATCGCATTTTGGCTGGGATACCTGAACAGCTGCATCAACCCCATCATCTACCCTTGTTCAAGTCAAGAGTTTAAAAAGGCATTCCAGAATGTTCTAAGGGCCCAGTGCCTCCCACCACGGAGGTACTCAGCCAACAAATATTCCCTTAGCTTCAACCTCAATCATGCAAGCAACCACGTCGCCGAAGCTCCAAAAGACGTTGTCCGCATCCCTGTCGGCTCCGGAGAAACCTTCTATAAGATTTCCAAATCGGACGGTGTCTGCGAGTGGAAGCTCTTCTCGGCCATGCAGAGTGTGTCCACCAAGAGCACAGCCTCCAGGGACAAGGCCAGCTGTGTGACAGCCAAAGTCAAGAGCAAAGGTTTCCTGCAGGTTTGCTGCTGTGCAAGAACATCAGGGGAAAACATGGCAAAGGACCAGAAAGTGCCCACCATTAAAATACACACTGTCTCTGTCAGCGATAACGGAGAGGATATTTAAAGGCACCCATCATTCCGGTGGGACCAGAAGAGGTTTACATGCAGTGCTTCAACATGGGCAACCCAAGGAGGGGGCTGCTTTTAATGGGGTAATACAGAAGGGAGAATGCAAGGGAATGATGCTAACGCAGAACAAAGCACGTGAGCTTCGACTGAATCCAAGTTATTGAGGGAATCTCAGGCAAGGTGAAATCTGTGGGGTTCAGAAATGGGACCACTTGAGGCTGGACTTCTTCAAGCGATTCTGCTATTATTTCCTTGCTATTTTCAAGGCTCTGAGGTTCAGTTAGTTTTATTTACAATTGTTTAGCCATTGCGCTCTTAACTTTGGGGGTGGGGTGGAGGAAAGTGTTGTGACGTGTCCTACAATAGAGATCTATGAATATCTGTTATTGGTTTCAACACAGGAACTTCTTTCTGGCTCTCAGCTTTTATGTCGTGGAGTAACTTCATACACCTAAAGGGGGAATTTGACAAGGCAGAACCATGAGTTAATTGGAGAAATGTGATGGTCTTTTAACTTGACTCCTTTCTTTTTGTTGATTCCAGTCCTGTGAAACTTTGGACCATATAGCTTAAAAGACACCAAAAGGGTAAGGGTGGGGGACTCCAGTCCCAGGAGCAGAATGCAACCCCCTAGGCCTCTCCAACCGGCCTTTGGGGCTCTTCCTGTGGTACATCCCTTCACCCAAGCCTCTAGTTGGCCCTGCTCCATACATCCCTTAATTGTTTTTGCCAGGCTGGAATATGTCATTGAACTGTGATAATGCCTTTTGCTTGCCTGGATGGAGAGGTCTGGGGACAGGGGACCTTGGACATTTGTGTGGCTGGAATATAGTCTACTGCACAAAGTCAAGACACAGCCATTGCGCCCTCCACTTTTGCCTCTGGCCCTGCCCACTACTGGCATGTGGCCACTGGAAGGTTGTCCATGGAGAAATGCAGCCCTCGAGGATGCGGGGGGCGGGGAAGCTTTCCCACCTTTGCAATAGGAAGTACACAGCTCAGAACTGGCCCTGATTCTGCACCTGGCAACAACAGTTCAGAAGCTTGTGTACCCTTCATATGGATGGCAGACTTGCTGAGAACGGCTCCTTCATCCCATGTGGTCAAAATGTGGGAGGGGAAACACTACAATCACATAGGCAAGGAAATCATATGGGGGTCAATGATAACAAACCAGTACACTCCCTCCTTCTGGGGTGCTAATCAAGTGGACTAATCCATACGATTAGTTCTGGGCATGTAGTTATAATATTCACTCATGGGACATCATCAAAGAGAAGCAGCTCCCACAATTTGTGGTGCAGATGTGAGGTGGGTCTTATTCCTCTCCCTCTCATAGGGACCATTTCCTTATTCCAAAAGCATTTGCAAAAATCTCTGTGTGTCATTTTGAAGCTTCACCTTCTCTGTGTTCCTCTTTGTTGCCTGTCTTGTGGTACATTCATTTTTGAAGTGCAGCATGTAATGGTGGAAAATATTCTGTAGCAAAAGAATGTACCTTTGTCATAATAATGATGCCAAGAAACTGCCCTCTGAGTTTGTGGGGCAATTCCCAGCCCCTTCATCAACACCAATTGCCTTTCCTTTGTCCTTGTTTGACTCCATCCCATCCCTGGGCCACACCTCTTCCTTCAGTAGCCTACCTCTACAGACTTCAGGTCATTCAATCCCTTTTTGCTTCCTTTTGGGAATTCCAACCATTATTGTTGTCATACACACTCACTTAGGGTACGCGTGCAATGCGAAATAATTGGAAACTGTGGAGATTCATATCACAAGGTTGCAGTGCAACACTGGTCCATGAGGGCAAATGGGGCACTGCCCTCAGCCAGCCCCTCTTACATACAGCCACCCCAAGGGGAGGCCTGTGCTGTTAGGTCCCTCCTCTTTAGTCCCTGCAGAAGTCAGTAGGGAGGAAGATGGAGACAAAACCAGAATTAGTTGGCTCTGCCTTTCATTGTTCTGGCTCCGTGTACCATTGGCCTCCCTGCCTTCCACCCTACCAGTCCAAATGGGCACTAGCCAGCACTGCACTGCAAGGCAGCCTTTTGTAATTATCACTTGCAGAATTGTGGAGCAGCAGGATTTACTAAGGCACCAATGAAAGAGAGGTTCAGATCCCTGTGATGTGGGTTATCCATTATGGGGATACTTGTTGAACCATTGATAAGACTAGGGTTTAAGGCAGCCTTTGCCACAAGTCAACATTAAAGATTCAATCTGTTTAAATCGTGTGCTGGAGATTGGAGAGCATGGTTATCTGGAGCCATCTCAAGGAAACAGAAGTGAAAGTGCATGAAACAGTGATTCAGTAAGATTCAGAGTTTGCCCACATTTCTGCATGTCCTGTGCCTAGAAAGCATGAGTCCAAGAGGTCTTCCACTTGTCTCATGTTTCTAGGCATGGGTCTGAGCAGTTATCTGCATAGGCGCCGACTCCATGGGGCCTGAGGGGGCCTGAGCCCCCTCAAAAATTCGTATGGGGGGGCTCTGCCCCCCCAATAATTTAAGAAAATCATTAGTTATATTATGCTTATCTAGAGAGGGGGTGGGGTTGCGGGCTCTCGACCCATCAACAATCTCGCGGGGCTGCCGTCAGCCCCCTCGAGTAGCAGGGATTCCCCCTAGCTCATTAATATTCACCGCCCACGGCGGCAGCCAATCGGCTGCCGCAAAGGGCGGGCCCTCACAGGTTCACTTAAGGTCGGGGCAGCCCGGGGCTCGCCCCTTTCGTTCCCCCAGCAGCAGCGGTTTGGAGGTCTTGGGCCCCCCCAATATTTTTTATAAGTCGGTATGGGCCCCCCCAATATTTTTTATAAGTCGGCGCCCCTGGTTATCTGTTTGTCTCACTGCATTCCCTGCGAAAACCCGCCCTTTACTGCTGAATTGAAGCAAACTTCAGTCTACAGTAAACTTGATTGACATTCAGGTTTGATGGTGTCACAAAGAAGCCTCTATCCCCCATGCATCTTTACAACAGGGTCAATTTGATTTATGTTTTCCTGCAAAAAATTCTGTTCAAAATTGTTCCTTAGATCCTCTCTTGGTCCTGGATTTCATAGAGTACCCCAGGGAAAGGGAATTGAATTTAAACAAGTTCAGGTATAACAAGTATAACTGTGCCCATGGAGATTTATTTCAATTGACTTTGGCTAAATTAAATTGCTTTTTGTGGGATTACCAAAATATAAACCAATCCCCTGCAACAAGGATGAAGCAATTTATCTTTCAACTGTTGACGTCAATGAGAGTATTTTACATTAATATATTAAAAAATAAAAAACAAAACCATGTTCTCTCATTAAACCAGATTACCTGAATTTGGATGATCAGAAACCTAAACAAACAGGAATGAATAGCAGTCGCACAATACATAATTCTGAATAACTTTGAATTTGTCCATTGAGCTCTGTATAAGCAAGAGCTTCCTACACTAGGTCCAGCATTGGGAAATGTGCCCCATGCTCATTGGAACTGTGTGTGGAACATTTCTTAAACACTGAGGTTAATGAGGACACTTTTGCTGCTAGTGGACTCTAAGCTGATGCACACGTGCATGATTTATTGCTTGATGACCAAGTGGGTGAAGGGGCCATTTCAGATCAAATGTCACACCAGAACTTCTAAACCAAAATGCATTGGAAAGGATCCAGATTCAAGCACTAGACATGTGTCTACTCACATGTAGAGAGCTTTCATGTAGCAACAGAAATGGGGCCATACTTCCAGCCCCACCCCGATACCGCATTCCCATCACATGTGTTGATAGTAGCCCTATTAACATCAGTAGGACAAGTTGCTCATCATGACGCCCTTAAGTCCAATTGATTCTGATAGAACTAAAGCAAGGCTAACTTAATATAGATTTAAGTCAATACTTTTAAGTGAAGTCATCTCACATTTTCAGCTGCCAGTCATCATGTTAGACAAATAAAACAGTGAAAAGGCATGTCTGCATTATCTAGGGCTGTCATACATCTGTAATTTCCTGGACATAGCCAGGATTTGTCTGTCAAAAAATGGCGTCCGGGTGGAATTTTTGAAAAAGCAGCAAAAATGTTCAGGGAAACCTGGGCGTATGGCAGCCCATATCAGAAGTGTAGATTTTTTGGTAATTTTCCTTTAAAAAAATAGGTTTTAAAAATCATTTATTTATTTACTGAGATTTTAGGGGGGGAAAGGGGGGATAAAAGCTGAACAACTTTTGTATCTGGACATTCACTTTTTGAAATATGACAACCATAGCACAACGTCAGTCTATATATTGGACCAGGAATATTATGTTTATTTTCAAAAAAAATCTGTGGATTTTGGGTTGCCAAAGTTTGCTTTCTCTCTGGAGAGCCTAAGATGAAAAGCTTTTCAGATAACCTCTCTTCATACCATGCCAGTGTCATTCAAAGATTCAAAAGACCAAACATATTTATAAGAGCTTTTTCCATTTTGTTAGAGGCCTGACAGTATGGCTGTCATTTTCCTCCCTATTGCTATAGCCTCATAGGGATTATATAGAATGTGTTTTAGACATTGAAGGACCAAAAGCAGTTCACAGCAAATGTGAGGTTTGCAATGTAGTAATTGACCTTTAAGGAAGCTTGAAAGTAATTTGATTTGGGTGTTTTCCTTAGTTTCAGCCTGTCAGGAGATTTCTGCACCCTCTGTAGAAAAGAGGTAAAGTACACATTTGGAATTAATAGTTCTCAGCTCCGTACACCACACGCTATCTATAGAAATAATCTGGCAATTAACTTTGTAATGTAGGCAGAAAATGCATCTATAGCATCAGAAGAAAATGGGATTCAATGCAGTAAGCAAACTCTAAGAACTGAATTGAACTCCATGCTAATCCTTAAATCTTCACCATTTTCCAGTATCCAATACATAGGAAGCTGCTTTTTCTGTTCATCCAGCTAGCTTATTATTGTTCTGCAATGACTGCTAGTGGCTTTTGAGGATTTCAGGCAGAGATCTCTCCCAACCCCACCAGGAAGTGCTGGGGCTTAAACCTGGGACTACCTGCATGCAGCACAGATCATCCTCTGCTACTGAGCTACAGTGTTTCTTGCTTTAAGTTACAAGGAGGCAGATTTTGGTTGAGCATTAGGAGACATGTCTTGATGGTATGGGCAATATGACAGAGGGATGGTGTGCTCTCCTTTGCTGGAGGTCTCTAAACAGAAGCTGGGCAGCCATCTGTGAAGGGAGCTCTAGCTCTGGATTTCAGTACAGTGGTACCTCAGGTTAAGTACTTAATTCATTCTGGAGGTCCAGTCTTAACCTCAAACTGTTCTTAACCTGAATCACCACTTTAGCTAATGGGGCCTCCTGCTGCCACATTGCCGCTGGAGGACAAATTCTGTTGTCATCGTGAAGCAAAGTTCTTAACCCAAGGTACTATTTCTGGTTACAGATAGGTAGCCGTGTTGGTCTGCCATAGTCAAAACAAAAAAAAATTCCTTCCAGTAGCACCTTAAAGACCAACTATAGTTGGTCTTTAAGGTGCTACTGGAAGGAATTTTACTATTTCTGGGTTAGCGGAGTCTGTAACCTGAAGTGAATGTAACCTGAAGCGTATGTAACCAGAGGGACCACTGTACTGAGGTTGAATTAGATGGCTGAGCATGACAGCAGCATATTCTGCGGCCCATATTCTGAGAGCCAGTGTGGTGTAGTGGTTAAGAGCGGTAGTCACGTAATCTGGTGAACTGGGTTCGCGTCTCCGCTCCTCCACATGCAGCTGCTGGGTGACCTTGGGCCAGTCACACTTCTCTGAAGTCTCTCAGCCTCCCTCACCTCACAGAGTGTTTGTTGTGGGGGAGGAAGGGAAAGGAGAATGTTAGCCGCGTTGAGACTCCTGAAGGGGAGTGAAAGGCGGGATATCAAATCCAAACTCTTCTTCTTCTTCTTCTTCTTCTTCTTCTTCTTCTTCTTCTTCTTCTTCTTCTTCTTCTTCCTTACAAGCAGAACTGGGCCCTGCCCTGGTTTGGGAGGGTGTATGGCATAGGCGCCAACTCCTTAGGGCTGAAGACACCTCTGCCCCCTAGATATTGTTTAGGAGGGGGCTCAGCACCCGCCCTCCAATAGTGAGAGGGTGGAGGAGGCTGAGCACTGAGCAGAGCAGAGCACTGGGATAGGCCCAGTTTCTCCAGCTTCTGGCATGGGGCATGGAATGGAGCTGCTCCTTTTTCCCCATGAGACAAGGCGAGCCAGGGGCACTGCCGGCACTGCTGCTTGCACTGCCACTGCCTCCTCCTCCTCCTCATCCCACCACCATGAACATGAGACTTTTGGCAGTAGCAGCTGCAGTGACCACAGCTTGGGCGAGTCTGGAACCCTACCATGGCTGGGGAGCCCTGCTGCAGTCCTTTGATTCTGCTGCCCTCAGGGAGTGTAGCCCTCAGGCTGCAAGAGGTTCCCAAGCCCTAGCGTAGGACAATGCTGACTAGAAATAGAAGCTGACAGTATACATTTGAAGGGGGGCATTTTTGAGATGCATTGTGGGAACAGCAGAAAAGAAAAGAAAAAAAGAAAAGAAAAGAAAAGAAAAAAGAAAAGAAAAAAAGAAACTTCAGCAGAGGATAATAAAGCATATGATTTGCATGCAGAATCAACCCTTTCTCCTGAGGGACTGCAGATTTTAATGAGCATTAAAATTGCTCATTACCTCAACAAGGATAGTGTAGAGTTGGAAATGGTTCAGAAAAGGGCAACCCAAGTGATTAAGAGGGTGGAGCAACTCCCCTAAGAGGAACTGTTACAGCATTTGGGACTTAAAAAAAAAGTAGTGACTTAGAGGCGATATGACAGAAGATTATAAAATTATGCATAGCTTGAAGAAAGTGGATAGGGAAAAGTTTTTCTCCCTCTGCCGTAACACCAGAACTCGTAAACCAACTTCCAATGAAGTTGGAAGATTCAGGACTGATATAATTATTTAATTATAAGTATTTCAGCTGCGGGGAAGTAGACAATTTCAGGGTTGAAGGAGCTACATTGTTTTTATTAGAACCCCAATACCCACCACCTAGAACCTGGTGCAAATGATATAAACTTAGAAACAAATCATTCTGAATTTGTAACAGAACTGAACAAAGCTCATTGTCCTTCCCTATAAAAATCCCACTTCTGATTACCTCCTGTCCTCTTATTTTCCGCAATTTATTCATATTGGGGAAAATCATTTTCTTGCCACTATTCTTAAACTATGTGAAGTAAAAAAATCCTTGCTGTTCTATGCAAGTCACCCAGGGATCAAGACCAGCAGATCAAGACCAACCTTCTGCTCACCCCTGATTTTACTTTGTCACAGTTTCTGGGGTCCAAACCTCCTCAAAATAGGAATCAATAACCCTTGGGTTACTACCAGGCTAGGGATACACCAATTTGTCAAATGTTTATTTTTCTAAGTTTCGCATCCCCACCCCCACCCCACATCTTAAGTTCCATTCTTCACAT